ACTCTGTTCTTATCGAACAACTTCGTCCATCCCGAGAAAAGAAATCTAGTGGACTGAAATCACAACTTCTTGGAGGCCAATAGCAGTTGCATTCCCGTATATTATTGTTTGACCAAACTTTTCCTCCAAATAATGTGATAGTGGCATTAGCAAAATGTGGTGTGGCTTCTTCTTGACGCCGCTCTTTTAAACCAGACCCTGTTGATTTGAGGAACTGAGCCCTTTGAGAATGCTTGTGCCAGCTGCAAGCGAAACGTCTGGTAGAACCTGCGCTCAATCTTAATTAATTCAAGTGTAAATTATATGTTACAGTTGCAACGTGTCCAAAGCTGCCCAGTTTTCAGGGCGGATGGTTCCTGCCAGGTGTTTGTAACACTGGTTCGATCTATCCGGGTGATTCGTGCTCTATTCACTGCCGATTGGGATATCGAAAGTTGCAACCAATTCACTCTGTGACTTGTGAGGATGATTTGCGATGGTCACTCGATATGACCCAGGATGTTTTGGAGCGGATTTGTGTTAAAGGTGAGTGAAGCACTAGGGGGGATCAATTAACCACTAAACACATTTTATGAAATATTACAGATTATGTTGAGGAAATTCGCCAGCCCTCTATAATCTGTCCCAACGATGGACGTTTGAGTTTGGTTCTTCCTCCCGGACACAGCAGCATGGCTGTGCGGTTCCCACAACCAAAAACAAGCGTAGATTTTCAGAAGTAACCACCATTGTAACTGTAAAAAATGTCCCCAACGCATTAATTCTTGCAAAATTTCAGATATGTAATTTCACAACCATCCTGGGGAAAGCGACTTGGAACCGTTCTATCCGTCGGTTCCGTTAGAGTCAAATTTACTGCAGTGCAAGCCAACCGAACGAGTTCCTGCACTCTATCGATTACAGTGGAGGATAGAGAAGCGCCCCAGGTGTCCAACTGTCCGAGGGACATAGAGAAAGTGCTGGAAAGAGGGCGGCGCAGCCAGATAGTTTTTTGGTCGGAGCCTAATTTCCTGGACAATGTCCAGGTTGCTCACGTTTACAAGTCCAGAGTGAGTGTCAGTGTTTTATAGTAGCAACTAGAGGCTTATTGGAATGTTTCAGGAACCTGGAAGTGAATTTGTCGTTGGCCGGCACCCGATTAGCTACATAGCGACGGACAGCTCCGACAATAAGGCTTATTGTCGCTTTACGATCGATGTAAAAGGTAGTTCATTTGATGAGAAACCAGCTAAACTTTGCATTAAACTACCGTCTAATTTTTAGAATCTAAGGCTTTGGAAATGGCCAATTCCATTAGAGCTCAAAGCTACAATGCTTATGCTGATAGGCGAGCTGATACTTCCGAGTACTATTTCAAAGCAGTTCTCGTTTGTCCCAGTGGAGCGCAATATGAGGTAGAATCAAAAATTATTTCTTTGAATCCCTATGGGAATATTTCACACTTATTTTCCAGGATTTATCTCGGGTGATTCCCGAATCGGGTTGTATATGGAAACACCTGCGGGCACAAAGACCGCAAAGCTTCCAGACTCCCATACAATCCAATCATCTTTATCCCTCTTACTCGAAGAAAGTTTACCCTCCATCGTATGTCCCGCACTCATTACACCCCAACGCTATTGGAAGTTCATTTGCAATAAGATCCGGAAGCCGTCTTCCTAGCTACATAAGAAACCGAAAACGGAAGGAGTTCTTCAGGTGGAATAGGAGATAATTTAGAAAAATCAGCCAATATTAACGTTTGTGCATGTAATTTGAATATCTAATAAAAGTTTCTAATTCCGTGTTGGTTGCATTTTATTTATCATTATTCATTGCTTAAGTTAAGGAGATTTCTACGACCTTCTACAGGAGGGTTTTTTCAATTTTAGTTTTCTCTCTTTAGAGTTTGGGTTTGCGAAATATGAGCGATTAAAGTTGGGACTTCGCAAAAAAATTGCATTTT